ATTCTGATGGAAATAAGGATATTATTCCCTCATGTAAAAGAGTAGGAATAGCCAGAGAATAAGAGTAGAGCTGGGAACATATAAAGAGAAATATCACGTGGCATGCAAGAGAAATATTACAATAGTAATAAAATTATTACCAGGAAAAGAGTAGAATTCATAGGGAAACAGGAACATAATTATTACGGGAAGAAGAAGAGTATTCCCTGGATAGGGAGGGAAACGTTAGAAGCACAAAAAGAGAATTATTATGTGGTGGGCAATCAATTATTGCAAGAAGGGGAATAAAAGTATTTACCGGAAAGGCAGGGAATTCTAAGCAAAATTAAGAAGAAAATTATTATGGGAAGAAGAACAGAACTATTACTCAGAGAAGAAGAATATAAGCAGAGGATAACAAGGAAAATTGTAATGTGTCATGCAAGAGAATTATTGGGAAAATATGAATAAATAAATTAACAGGAAAGAAGGAGAATTCTCACAGAAATACAAAGACTAATATTATGGGAAGAAGAGGAGAAGTGTTAGCCAAACAGGAGGGGAACGATTAGAGGAATAAAAAGAGAATTATTATGAATTATGCTTATTATTATCTCTGCTTATGAAGCAGGAGAATTATAAATTAAGTAGGCAAATAATTGTAAGAGAGAAGAAGAGAGGACTCCTAGCTGTAAAAGAAGAGAAGTATTAGAAATATTTAGCGGGATAAGGCAAGATTCTTTTGGAGCTATAAATAGAGAATTTTTACCTCAAGAGAACAAAAATTATGAGGAGAATATGAATAAAATTATCATCAGGAGAGGAAGAGAAGTATCAGCAGGAGAGTAAGAGAAGTATGAGGGGCATCAGTAGAGAATTATTGGCAGGAGGGAAAAAGAATTATTGGCTGGAGGATAATTAAATATTAAGGGAGAGAGGAAGAGAATTTTTAGAGGGTAAAAATCAGAACTATTATTGGAAGATGAACAGAAGTATTAGGATGAGCAAAACAGATTATTCTATTTTCATGTATATTCATTCATTCTATATTGATACTACGTCCTAAAGAATTATTATGGAGAGCAAAATGAGGAGCACGGTCAAGTTATTACAGAGGAAAGAGTTTTTATGGAGCGATAAAGAGAATTTCTATGGAGAACGAGTATCAATTATAATTGCACATAGAAATGAAATGCTGCAGAGAGTAACAATTCCTACAGGGAAAAAAGGGGATGCAAAAAAGAATTATTGCAGAGCATACAAGTAGGAATTATTATGGAGAGAGAAATGGGGAGGAAGAAGGATTTATTACGGAAAGTGCAGAAGATTTATTGTGGGGAGAGAAAAAAAAATTTATGGAAAGTGTGGGTAGCATAGCAGATAGCAAAAAGGAATTATTGCAAGGAGAGAAAGTTGGAGCACAGATGAATTACTGCAGAGAGAGAGAGAGAGAGAAGAGGAGGAATTATCGCAGGGAGCACGACAGGGCGTACAGGAAAGAAGTCCGGTGGAGTGTGGGAAATAAGTATGGCGGAGCACGTGAGGAGAAATGGTTGCAGAGTGCATGGGAAAATTTTTATGTAATGCAAGAATTATTGTGGAGGGCAAGAAAGAATCATTTCGGAGACAGAAAGGGAGAGCACAGAAGAATTTTTATGGAGCGCGCAAGAAGGAATTATTGCAGAGAGAGTTATTACAAGGAGAGAGCAGGGGAGCACAAAAAGGAATTATTATGATGAGTGTGAAAAGCAATTATTATGGAGAGAGAAGGAAATAGGGTTACGGTCAAGGGAAAGAGAGAATAATAATTAGGGAGAGGAATATTTAGAGAGCAAAAAGAATAGTACTTGGGTTGGCCACCTCTTTCCAAGCCCTCACCTTTTGGGTGCAGCAACTCTAATATTCCTGCCAGGCAGGTGTGCGGGCACAAATGATGATGACTAGAAAGAATGACCAGATCGCAGAGTCCCAGGTGCTTCTCCAATAGACATCCCCATCCAGCGAGCTACCCTGTCAAACCAACCAAAACAAGCGGTTAGGTTTTTGGACCATTGCTCCGATGGTTTTTCAGGGTGACAGACGTAGCTGTTGATAACTTCACAGAGTGCGATACTCTATCTTACCTGCCTTGTACCCTCTTTAGTGCCTTCTGCTTTTATGGCATTGCTGCTGATTAAAAGGGCATAATTTAAAGTAGCAGGGTTCTTTTAAGCTCCTCACTAGCATTTTTTTCTTTTGAAACAAAAACTTGTGTGTTCCCCATACGCCAACCTACCAACATTCTTTGCCAAGAAAGGCCATCAAGTCCTCTTCACTTGGTGGGTCTAAATCAAAAGGGTGGAGACAGTCATATCAAAAAGCCTTCTCTGGCTGAGCTTACAGAGAACACCAGAAGAGGCAGCAGGGCCCTCACCAAGAGCCCTTGTTCCAGCAGAGCCAGTCAACCTTATACGTTTCAGTCCTGAGCTTCTCCGCTTCCTCGGGGCTCACCAGCCCTCTCAGCTGTGGCTGTCGCAGCAGGAGCTGCCCGTCTCACAGATGTGGAGCACCAAGGCCACTTTCTCCCACTGCCAGCTCATCCCCGCCTCCGCAGCAGAGAGTGCAACCACTCTGAGCAAGAACTGGCACCCTAAACAGATGCACAGAAAAAGGGCAGTTCAGCTCTGCGTTCCGGCAGATGTGACTCCACGTTCCAGGCACGGGCAGAGACAGCGCCAAATCCATGCCAGGCCAAGCCCTGCGCTGCCACCTGCACATAGCAAAAGCCCCACCGGCAGGCTACAGCCCAAGGCACACAGCCACCCAAAGGGCCGCAGATCCTCTCACCACACTCCTTCACCGTGCTCCTGTCTGGGGCCGTGCATGTGCCAACTGCTGCCCCACAAGACCCCAGTGCAGTGCCACGTGAGATGGACCCAAAGCCACCATGCAGATGCCACCAAGAGGGGACCGAGCAGAGGCCAGAGGTGGAAGGAGAGGGAGGGAGCAGGTGAGACCAACAGTGGCCTCAAGTTGTGACAGGGGAGATTCAGATTAAAAGTTAGGAAAAAAAATCTAAATGAAAAGAGGAGTTAAACCTGGGAATAGGCTGCCTAGCAAAGTGGTGGAGTCACCATCCCTGCCAGGGTTCAAGAAATGTGTA